GCATCAACAAATAGTATTACACATCGAAGAATAAGAAACTACACATAACAGGAGCAACAAAGATTTTGATTGTACAACATATTACATCATTATTACTAACAAGTACAAAAGCAAGCTAATAGAGAATAAATCTGCAGATGCAAATACCCAGTACAAGCAATAAACCTATCAAAGGAGATAAACTGAAGACAAACTTATCAAATTCAGCTTTAAAATGGTGTAAAGATAGGAACAGTTGCATTTTATGAACTCACAAATTCGACAAAACTTAATATAACAAGACAACTGGGAAACAATAAATGAAAAACTAATGGAATACAAAACGGCTGGACTCTGTAAAGCAGCCCGTTGCCTCGAGCAAATATGGCGTATAATTTACCATGTTGCAAAACTGTCTTTCGTCGTCTAATGAACACACGTTGGGAAAAGTATACAACTCACATAAACTCACCTGTTCGTTACAGTTCCAATTATGAAAAACTGTGATACAGTTGCTTTAGTCCACTGAGCACAACGGAAAGGCCATTGCGAGGATAAATGATATCGAGCACATTCCATTGACGAGGATTTGAGCTTTTTACTGGAGCAGATTTTTGCAGGCTTCGACATCAGGTGCTTGTGAATCTAATACTCCTTGACCAGTAGGGCTAGAGCTAATAGCTTTCATGATGGCAGCAAATAAGTCCTTCTGGTATAAGTCATCGGTTACCTTCTGCAGGATCTCATTCACCAACTTGAAGTCCATTGCCCCTGTCAAAACTAGCCTTGAAATTATCTCCCCGAAATTTGCTGGTGCTTTTGGTAAATCCATCGCAAGATCTTCCAACTGAGAAGCAAAGTTCAAGCATCCAGTGGCCAAGTCTGTAGCAGTAAAAACCTTTTTAGCAAACAAGTGCTCAAGAAGTTGTGCAACTGGTTCAACACGTGGTGGGCTTTTGTCCAGTCCAAGTGATATGGCTTTCTCGACAACCTCAGGATAGAAGGCAGGGGATTTGAGTTCCTCAATGCACTGCAAGGCTTCATCCAAAATCCGAACACTAAAATATTCCTCCAAAAGTGAAACTGTTTTTCTTTTCAGCTCCTCGGGATTTGACCTTGCAGCTGGAACCTGAGGTTTCTCAGCAACAGGCAAAACGGTACTAGTTGGAGATGGCTTAACTGGTACTGGAACTTGTGATACAGGCTCCATACCAGAGACATAGCCTAATGGTTGGACAGGAGGTCCACCACTACCTTGTAAGAGAGCGCTACTCCTGCCATTCATGCCGACATTGCTACCCTGAGGCAACAGTCTTGTGTTCAAGGACAGCGACTTGCCAATCAATGGTTGCTGAGCACCTCTTGGCATTCGTGACCTAGGAACCTCCCAGTTGTCATTATCCATTCCTGGCATCCCAGGCATCTTCCTTGCTCCTGGCATCCCTGGCATCATACCACCAGTGCCGGGTCGATTAATGGGATAGCCACCAGGACCCAAATTCCCTTGAGCACCTGGAGGAGCACGAGCATTTCTAATGCTTAATGTAGCACCAGGACGCAACCCCAAGGTCTTCTCTGCTTCTGAGTGGATCTCATTAATGGTTTTGGCTTTCACCTATAAAAGAAGTTAATACATCATGAGAAAGAAGTGTAGGACTTAACTAGTCACAACTACTGCATAAGCAAATCGTGTATCACCTCTTCCCGCCTAGGGACCCAGTTATTGGCACGTAAATCCAGCACATCACGCACCAAAAACTTTAGGCGTGCTACCAGCTGAGGATTTGTTGATAATTCTTTCAATCGGTTGAAATACATATCATTGATGTGCCTTGACTTTTGCTTCTTGTCAAGCTGCTTACCAATGGTGTTAAAGAATTGGCATATAGCTTCAACGTTCTCTTCTTCTGGACAGCTTTTGGGATCTTGTCCTAATAGTTCCTGTTAGCAAGATCAGGAAGACAATTTCCCACAAAATTGATATGTTGAAGAAATTTAAGAGGGAAAGGAACAAGAAGATTAAGCTAATAGAAAACAATCAATAACCTGAACAATGTGATGAACAATCTTTTCAGGAACCATATTTTGCTTCAAAAGCTCCCCAATAAGACGTATGTTTCCAAGAGTGCGCAATTTGATCAACCTTTCTTTGTCCTTGCGTTCTGACTCCTGCTCCGGAGCAGTCATTTGTCTCGCCTCTTCCCTCAATTTGTCAGCACCTTCAAATGCCTCTTGGCAATTATTCAGAAGAACACGCTTAAACGTGATTTCTTTCCCACCAGGTTCATCAGATGGAAATGGAGGAAGCTTCTCATTGAGATCAGAACACAACTGGGCATACATCGGGCAAAAGGTGGGTTCCAATACGGCCTTGTCAAATATCAAGGAGATCACACCCTAGAATTTAGAGAAGAGAATACATCAGTTAACCAAGACATATGATGGAAACAAGACATTAGAGAAATATAGGTATCTGAGAGATGGGACCTTTAGAATGTCTGCACTCGTTATCCCTGAATCTATTAATTGGCCTTTGAGAAGATCAAATTTCTCTGGGGTCAACTTGTTGAGTATTCTGCAAGATCGATAATACTTTCATCAATCATGTACACAATAATGATATCCTAAAATTTACCTTCAAAGAAGTTGCAAACTACATCTGAAACCAAGACCATATTGAAACCTTATTTTTTTATTTGCAATACGGATTATTATATCCATGAATATGAGAAAAGGTAGTAAAGAAGAGCAAAATGCAGTTCCCTACTGTCAAGATGTGGTGAAAAAATAGCATCAAATTATAATACAGAACTTGTTAAAAGCATTAGCTAGAATTTCCAGAAAGATTACCCCTTGACTGTTTTCAAGACACGAGCTTTGTCAGAAAGAGTGCCCCTTTGGACTGACCATGGCACCTCAGCTTTGATCAGTGTAGGAGCAGGACCTCCCTGGTGCACAAACAATTGAAGGGTTTCAGAGATCAGATGTAGTAGATAGTTCACCATCAGGCAAAATCATGTAGTTTGAACTTTGAGCAGAACAAAAAAGAAACCATTGCTGGTGCAAGGAATAAACTTAGCAACTAAAACAACAGAGAGACAGACATTATGTAGGAAAAAAGAGATATCTCTTAAATTAATCTAATTGATGTTCCAAATTATGTCAATAAGATAATACAACTATGTATTTGTATACCTAATTTTAATACATACAACAAAGTGCAAAACAACCACAGTATGGTGATAATCAAGTATATTATTCTTCAATAGGATGTCTTTTCTTCAAGTGCTGACGGCTTTCAGAATGCATGGAAAACTGAACTTGTCTTTGGGAGTACAAAAACAGGAATAAATTAACAGAAGTTATTCAAATCAATAATGAACATTCTCCAAAATGCGCAAGAGGAAATTAATTACCCCTTGGTTGGCAGAAACTTGAGCTCTTGCAAACTGTGATTGCTCTTGCCGAGTATACTGGCCACCAAATTCCCTGTTTTCTCGAAGTGCTTCCCATGACCTCTCCTCTATGGGGGCAGAAAATTGAGCTGGCCTATTACGCCAGTCACGATTGTCTGGTTCAGAATAACGACCCTGAGACTGAACCTGCACCTACAGAAAGACAAATTACACTGGACAATAAGGCAACAGAAAGTGAACACTGCAAGAAAGTGAAATAGAAGATAGACAAGCAGTAACGAAAAATAGTGAGTTGGAACTGTTCTTTAGTTTGCAACATTACCAAAAGCATCAAATATTCCTTTTACTCTGTGGAGGGGAGGAGAGAAATGCCAACAAAATTGTCAGATGAGAAGAAATACAACTTTTTATATCAAGCCAGAGAGAAACTCACATTATTATCCACACGACCCCGAGAGGCATCTTCACCAAACAGTTCCGCTTCAATTTCTTGTTTGATTTGCAGAAAAACCTCAGGTAACTGTAAGACAACCGCCTAGAAGACCACAAAAACCAGAATCAAGGACAAGCAAATAAATTATGATAATCCACCATGATATCATTTTTTATTTCTTTTTTTGGGTAGCTGGAATCGAGAGAGATCTAAAAGATGGAAGAAGAGATATCATTTTTTATTTCTTTTTTTGGGTAGCTGGAATTGAGAGAGATCTAAAAGATGGAAGAAGAGGACTGAATTCTTAATAATAGAAATTACATCACAGTCGATACCTATCAGTAAAAATGGCCTTTTTTTAAAATGGTAATAATAAGAGAAAAAAAAAATGGCCAGATTTGTTTTTCTCACATCTATGTACAGAAAACTGGTACTCAATAAACACTACCGCTAAACAATTTTAAATAATGATATTACCTCCCTCAGTTGCAGGAGCTGATCTCGAGTATAGCGAACACGTTCATGGCTCTCAAAACGAGAATCTCCAGTCTACAATGATAAAGGTGAGTTAGGACAAACAGAACTCTGAGAACAACAAGTTCTTAAAAGGAATTTCAAGCAAAAAGATAAGCTTCTTGACCTATAATAAAACACGGAAAGTACCATAAAAGGCAAATCCAGCAAGAAAGCACTCATCAGAATCAATGCTCCTTGTGAAAATAAGGGAACATAGAAGGAAATATGGGTGAATTGATTGTAAGAATTTAAAATATTTCTACATGCTTTACGAAGTTCATAGGCTATCAGCTAAGACACAACAGGGATGTCAGTCTGAGTGACTAAACAAGCAACCAGAGACCAGAGTCTTCATACTGGTATGATATTAGACAATGAGGGTTTAAGAATAGTTTGCAACAAAAGGAGTGGATAGCCTGTTCTTTTTCTTTTTTTTTTGTAAATCAGGAATCAGATATCCAGAACTTGTAACAATTCCGGGGGGAAAACATCATCTAGCAGGCTTCATCTAAGGATCTCCCTCAAATTTTAGTTGCATGATATGTTTTCTTTTTAATCTTCATGATATACAAGCATGAAGAAATGCCAATGCTCAAGTTCCCACATTATGAACAGCATGACTAGCTTTTGCATGGTCAAATAGCTAATGAGACTTCCAGTGTTAGTAGGGTTCTTTATGGGCAGCCTGATAATTCTCAAGTGCCCACCTAAAGCCTACTAATAATTATTCGTCCATGTTTACTGCAGGTATACAACTATAGTGAGCTGCCAAGAATTAGGACGTTAACAAGAATGTATTGAAATATTATGCACACATACACTTCTACTGGACCAATGAATATACAGTTATCTTTCTCGTTCATATTTGAATTATGCACAAGCACAAAGAAATATCAATGCTCACATTCCTAAATGCCACATAGCCAACACTATTTACCAGACAAAGGTCATACTTTGTTGCTTACTCTTCAATTCACTTCAGATATCTTAACGTTCTAACTTACTACAATATATTCCAAACTAACAATGCAAAGTTAAGCTGCACATCTACCACTAACTGAATTTACTGTCCAAAGAACAGAATTCCATAAGTGACTAGCTTTTGCATGGCTAATAGCTACTAAAACTTTCAGTTTTTAGTAGGGTTCTTTATGGGTGGCCTGATAATTCTTAAGTGCCCACCAAAAGCCTACTAATGATTCTCCATCCATATTTACAGCAGATACACAACTAAAGTGAGCTACCAAGAATTAGGACATTAACACAAACATATTCTCTTATTATGTAAGAGAGAGTTGAGCAGCTGAAGCAGGCAGCAGTCCGTCGACGTGCCTGCTTCAGCAAGGGTATTTTCAAAAAGAAAAACGTTTTCTTTGTTCTACTTTAATTTAGTTAGTGTACAACTTTTCTGAAATTGTGGGATCCATTTAAGCTATGCTCATAGTTATATTGTACTCCTTCCGTTTCAAAAAGAATGACCTACTTTCGTTTTCAGTCGGTCTCAAAAAGAATGACTCATTTCCAGATTTCCTCTTTTGGTAACACTTTAATTTCAACTTCCCACATGGCATATTTCAGGCCAAAGGTTAAAGGGCATTTTTGTGCATTTGACATAACTTTAATATAGTATCACGTGATTGAAAAGTCTTCTTTTTATTTTCTTAAACTTTGTGTCAAGTCAAACTGGGTCATACTTTTTTAAACGGAGAGAGTACCAACTATATAGTCATCTTTCTTGTTCATATTAAAGGTATTCCTGTACAATTCTCATTTCAACAGTTTGCAAAAGGTGATGTAATTAATGAGGCTGTTCATGTTTTCATTTCAGCATATTGCAGTGGCACTTCCATGTTATCTACACAAGTTCTATCCAAGTTCAGATAGTGCAGTCTCATGTCAAGCCAAAAGAAGACACAAAATGGTACAGAAAACCATTATGCACATCCCACTGACAAGATAGTCTGCATCAAGCACCCAGCTACCACGAGTCAAGAAGTCCAGCCCAGATACTTGATCAGTCGACCACCCATACAACAGCATGTGTACCATTAAATGCATTTGCACTTCCGTTTATAGATTTTAATCACACAAGCCAGAGACTTCATCAGAAAACCACCCGATTCACCAATCACGTGTACCAATACAAACACTGACAACTTTGCATATAGACTTAATAATCATACAGATTGACGCATAAAGTATCAATATCATTATTATTATTCTATTATAATCTTATTCGTCAATTGCATTACCATTGTTGTTTCTTTCACTTAATTTTTTACTATTTGTACTGTCAATACTTTTCTATTACCATTTTCACCATAGCTTTTACCCTTGTATGAACCTCAAACCTGTTCTTGAAAACACTTCTCTTGAGTCGGGGATATATCGAAAACAACTTATCTACATCATACAAGGTGGAGGTAAGGTCTAAGTACACTCCACCCTCCTCATACCCCACTTGAGGGATCACACTGGTAATGTTGTTGTATTCATGCATAAAGTAAAAATTTATAAACACATGTTGTACAACAGGAACACATATGAAAAGAAGAAACAAGTTTCTCTAGACTATAAGACAATTGGATAATGCATCAGAGATATATCCAACATGAGACTTGATAATTTCTACCCCGAACCTGAGCGAAACGGAAGCATTCAGCAGGCACATAACAACAGATATCACCAATATCATTAAGCAAACTAATCAGAAAGAGACCAAGTACAAACCAAAGAGTGTATTTTGCAAAAAAAAAAAAAAAAAAAACTATGCTTACATAGTTTCTAATTTCAACAAATCAATCAATCAACTACGCTTCAGCCAGCCTTGAACTAGTTGTGGTCGGATATGTGAATCACCTATATCCATCCCACTCAATTCAACCACATTTCATTCCAACCCGAGGCAGAGCTAGGGGCCACAAGGGAATTCATCCCCTTCACCCGAAAACCCAAACATTACACTATATATACATAGCAGATATTCGATTCCCGAGCGAAACTCCTGGCTCCACCACTATTCCAATGCTTAATAAGTTGTCTTCTAAAACAATATAAGGGCTCTCTAATGCAGAATCATAAGCTAGATAGTAAAAAAGATTAGATTTTTCACATGCAAAACAACAAAACATCAACAATAGATGAATCAAACAGCTAAAAAACATCAAGAAGAAAAGGCAAACCCACAAAGCAAAAAGATCCATAGATCTGAAAAAAAGATTCAACCTTGAAAGATGGCAAAGATGAAGAACCACCATGAGGACGAAAAACTGAGAGATCAGAATTGGTAGATGAGGTATCAAAGCGAGAGCCAAATACTCTGCTTCCACCACCTCTGTTACCACCACCTGGTCTCAAACTTATCACCGTTTGATCAGCCTGCATACCTCAATTCTCCACAGTCCGATCAATTCGAACACCTCCACACACAAAAGAAAAATGGCAAATCTAAACCAAAAACGAATCAATAAAAAGCTATAGATACGGATAAACGTGTATCTATATGTGTATAGAGATACAAAAGATTAGATTTTTAGAGAGAGAAAGTAAGAATTTTCAGAGAGAGAGAAAGAGAGAGATTGCTTTTCCTCTCTTCTCTACTGGGGACAGAGGAAATGGTGAAGGGAAAGAGAGGCGATTGTGAAGAGGGTGAGGGAAAAAAACCCTTTGAGGGTAGTTTCGATATTACAAAACTTATGTAAGGGTAATTTTGGTACTATAATTTATATTAGGCCTTTTTTATTTGTCGAAAACAATTTCTTTACCTTTTGACAAAGAGATAATCTTTGTATACACTTATAGTCCTCATATTCTATTTTATACTGTTGTTATTGTTATACGTAATGAGAGAGATATTTACAATAATTGCCTAGCTTTAGTGGACGAAGTTATCTAGTGCATGTTGCCGGTAAGAGGTGTCGGGTAATCCACGTGTCATGAAAGTTGGTCCGAACACTACGTTCCTAAAAAAATTGCACTAACTAAATTTCCTTTTTTGATTTTTCATTTATTATTCATTACGTTTTTAGGCTCGATTAATTGAGATTTGTATTGAAATATCTTTTTTTTAATAAGGGAAAATGCATAAGTACCCCTCCAACCTATGCCCAAAATCTCAGAGACACACTTATATTATACTAAGGTCCTATTACCCCCTGAACTTATTTTATAAATAATTTTCTATCATTTTCGGCCTACATGGCACTATCAACCAGATAGCTTGAAAAAATTGTCAACACGCGTTGGGCCCATAAGATAGTGCCACGTAGGCTAAAAAGGGGTAGAAAACTATTTATAAAATAAGTTTGGGGGGAAGTACTAGGACCTTAGTATAGTATAAGTGTGTCTCTGAGATTTCGGGCATAGGTTGGAGATACTTATGCATTTTCCCTTTTAATAAAGCATTATCTAGCGCAAGGAATTTCATTTTCGAAATGTCTATTTAAAGATCTAATGAGGTATTTATCGTAACACCTATCACTTGTGATGGTAAACAAAATACTGAATATATTTGCCCTTAGTTATTTAAAAAAAAATATATTAATCGTTGTTATTTATGATGCAATACATTAATGGACTATTTTTTAGAAATATATAAACAAAGGATCTAAAACATATATTTCGAATAATTAAAGATCAAACATACTTAATTAAATATTGCATGAATCAAAATTAAATTTAATAACCTCACAATTTATTATTAATAAATAAATCAATTGAAATATTATAAACACATATTTTTTTTTAGTTTGATATAAATGAAAACTTTTCGTAAAAATATAATTTATCACATGCACCTAGACTTGGGGAAAAAATATGGAGGTACTTTTGAGGAAATTAAGTTAGGTATATGAGACTGTTCTTTTCTTAATTAGAGGTTATGAATTTGAATTTTAGATATTGAAAAATCTTTGATAGAGAGTGTTTTCTCTTGAATAGGGTTTTATGTAACATAAATTTGAAATAGTTGGACTCTAATATGAATACCGAACACTAAATAAAGGAAAAAAATATGTATTGTTTTGCCATGGTTGACTTTTTTGCCCTTGAAGCTAGAAATGTGTGAATCATGGTGTTATCATCAAATGATATCTCTAACTACTATTATTATTTTATTACTATGTATTATTCAATATTTATTAAATGCCTTTTTGCATAAGGTCTTGAAGTCATTTATAAATCATATTTAACCTCACAAAAAAAAAAAAGTAAAACTATATATATTCATTTTAACTTATTTGAAACTGAAACATAATTAATCAAATATATAACTAAGTTATTATTAATACATACTCTATCTTAACCAAATTATCATACTTATTAATTTTGTGAATTATTAAAAAAAATGTGAAAAGAGCATATTGCTTATATCTTTTTTATATCACTATACATTTACAAAAACTCTTACTATAAGTTGATTGTATCCGTACAATTATTAAAAGTATTGTGTTGTATATTCAACAAGTCTAAAACGACAATTAAATCATTAAAATAAATTTTAAATTGAGGATCTTTTGTCTTTATTATTCAACTTATATGACGTCTTATATTCGACAAGTTATATACAAAACGACAATTTGATCCATTTATGTTGAAAGTATGTTATATTTAGAACTATATTACCATTAGAGATAGACTAACAGTGTAAGCTTAATATAGAACACGAATGATTAAGCAGTACAATGATTAATACATATAGTTCATTTGCAAATAGATTAGAAATGCATATTTCAATTGATTAAAAAATAGTCATACTTAACCAGAAATCACAATAACTAATATCGAAATTTAATGATAATTGAGGGACCAAAAGTGTTATCAACCCAATTTTGAATTTCATTTCCTTTCTTCCAAGTCTCTTAATCCAAAAAAGCAAAAAACTAATGCAAACATGCATTTAATAAATATTGGATAATACATAATAAATCATAGTCTTGACTCTTGAGTAAATTAATAATTACTCACACAAAAAGTATAACACTAATTATTATACCTTTTTTTAATTAATTAGGGTTATTAAAAACCCTACAATTTTTTCTAATTTCTCCATCATCACCAACTAGTACATTAATATTTCCCATTTTGACCATAGATTTAGCAAAACTCTTTCTAAATGCATTTCCATTATTTGCAAATCTTGCAACAATTGGTGCACTCAATTTATCCAAAGCAAGTTCTTGATCAATCTTCAAAATCCCTTTCTTTTTCAAGATTTGATTATAATATTGATTATCGACTATAAAAGATGTATTTTGATCCAAGAATGTTCTCGGAACGTCGTTCAATGTAGTCGGCGGCTTAGACGTGTTGCATAATCTGAATAGTTTCTTAACCAATTTAGGATCCATCGTGGGATCAGGTCTCCCCGTACCTCGAAAGTCTGAAACCCTAGACTGAAAAAACGAGCAATGTGCGACTCCAACTGTATGAGCTCCTAGTAGCGTCACCATATCAATTTTGTTCAAACCTATAGTTCTGAAGAATCGCAAAATTTCTGATACAGGCTGGGTCGGGCCGGGCAAATCCACTGATGAGTTCGACACGAGCCCATCGCGCCGGCCCGTCGGGATGGTGTATTTGGGCCCACCGGCTAAGGCAACTGCATCTCTAGTGGCTAGTGTCACAATGTCTGAACATGAAACAATCAAAGGACAAATAGATTCTAATTTTTCCTTAATTTCATCAATTAGTTCATAACCTCGTACTGTTAAATTAGGGGCAGAATCTTTTTCTGATATTTGGTTTTTTGATGAATCTGAATCTATCAATATTGATGCATCACAACCCTGACATAATAGTTACACAAAAAAAAATTCAATATATTGCCATATAATTAATTAAAACAATTGAAACTATAGTAGTTTGCAAATAATCACGACAACAGAAATAATTGTTTGCGACAATAAATATGCATATTAACTAAGAGTGTTAAAGTCTTTATCAACATTAGTTAATTGTTATTGGATCCAGTGTCAACTTTAGAGACATTTGCAAAATAGTGTTAATTATCACTAAAAAAATATATTTGGCAGCACTTAAGTTATTGTCATTATTTAATTGCCGCTAAAAATCATTCTTGGTGTAGTGAATACATGTTATCTGGTATAATAAATAAATTGATTGGATGGTCAATGGTGTGAAAATTATTACACTAGTGACGTAGTTTTAATAATATCCACTGAAAAAATCAGTTTTATAGTGTCACATCTACTTTTTATAGCAGGTAACTTGTCGTATTCTAAAGATTAAAATAAACTTGATATATTAACATATTTTTTTAAGATATATGATAACGTAAAAAAATCTTTATTTTGTTGATGTATACAAGTGAAACTTCATATATATATATAAATGAAACTATCAGTATATATAACTTTAATAGATACTTACTCTGACACCACAGTCATGAAAATGCAAACGAAGCAAAGCTCCTGTAATTGAAGGATTATTTTTGAACCTCTTTTGCACTATACTTTTCACAATAAATTCAGCATTTGGACAACTTGAATTGTAGAAACCAATTTTGAGTTGAGCTGACACAAAATTTTGGAAAAAGTAACATAAAAACACCAATAATAATGCAACTATCTTCATTATTATTATTTTTGTGTAATATTTTTGAACTAATTAAAGCAACTAAATTAGGTACTTATAATTGATCAAAAGAACTAAGTATTAGACCATTTATATAGAGCAAAAATTAAGATGCTTTTGAGTTAAAGTTTGAAGTGTTCAACTATATATCACTTTCTTATTTTTGTATATTTTGTTAAAGTTTATTATTATGAGAATATACTTATATGCATGAGCCGGCAAAAATAGCAGCCAATACAAGTACATACTTAAGGTAGCCGGCACCATATGTAGCATGTTAATTTTCCTTATTTGAGCGGGACAGTTCGATGTACAAAGTATCTCGCGTTTACGTAGAATGCAGGGAAGAGAAACAACCTAGCAGTTGTGAAGTTAGATAATCTATTCTAATATACGCACATTATTTATTGCTTCCACGACTCGAATTCGTAACTTATAAACTCGAATATAACTTTACTGTTATTTCTGGGCTTTCATTTAATTTTTCTAATCTAAATGATAGAGTTTAAGTTATATATGTTGACCGTTTACATATCAATATAATTTTATTTATGACCATATAGCCCATAATCAAAGCTCGATTAATCGAGATTTGTGTTGCATCTAAAGTTAAAACAAAAACAAGCATCCATATAACAATGACAACTTCATCTCTATTATAGCAATTATTAATTTTGTCTTAAATTATCAATTGTAATTTTTTATATGTTTTTTTATGAAATACTAACGATTAGGAGCTTTTTAAAATTTATATTTACCCTTTATTGAAATTTCAACGATCATAACATCCTCTCATGATTCAGGTGTTCAAAATTTTCAAGAAAAAATATTATTGAATATAAATTAATTAATGGAGTATTATATTTAACTATATTTAAGCTTACTGTAAAAATGGACAACACATTTTCCAATGAGACAATACATTAATAGACAATGATAAAATCCACGGAATTTAAGTACAGAAATATTTGAATTGGGAATCTAAGTACAATGATACTTGCTCTATGATAAAATAATATTATTTAACGTGTGTTAAGTTAATAGCAGACAATTATTATTGAAGAAAGAGTATAAAACATGTGAATTGATTACGTTGAATTGATCATACCCCAAATCGATATAAGTGAACAAGTAGAGTATTTATATATCTGTTTGATTATTTATTTATTTATTTTACTAAATATACTTATAAAAAATGAATTTAGAATTCATTGAAGTCATGTTCTAAAATTCAATATTTATAAGATTTAAATATTAACTTCGTTTCTAAAATAAATTATTGCTCTCATTTAAATGATAGAGTTTCTTCTTTAGTATTAACATATTAGCAATTTTTGCATAGTTTTCTTTCTTGTGATTTATGTTGCTATTGTTTGTGTCCAGTGTTTTGCTTATTACATTATTCCTGTAATATGCTATTCAGATTTTAATTGGTACTTTAATAAAAATTTCGAATGCCAGATAAAAAAAAAAAAAAAAAAAAAAAACTAAAGCACCTGCAGAAAATGAATTTGTCGGCAAGAAATATAGAAAATAAGTTGTACTCTCTTTTTCAATAACCCCACCACATGCACAATGATAAATGACTAAGAAATTGAATTATTTATCTTTTCTAAAATTCCCTAATAATTCATACATGACAACAAATGATTTATCATGCATTTTTAAAAAAAATAAAGGCATAATATTTAAGTGTGTTTTAATTTAAAATTTTGACTTCAGCTAATATCTATATCTTTGACTTTTATATTAGTATAAGTCTACTTAAACTTGTATCAATTTGAACAAGTAGACACATGCGTTTTATATGACGATTCATATGAGATACACTCAAATTGATTTATATTAAGCTATATAGGAGACACATTTATGTATTATGTCTTTTAAGAAATATTATCTTTGTCACCATATAAGTACCGTATATTCACCATCAAATATTATCAAACAGCGTTAAATATTCTTTAAATCTGTTTGAATTCAAAATCTTAAAAATAAAATTATATTTAATAGACGATAAACTTCACCTCAAAATTACAATTTTTATGTTCGAATACAAATTAATCGAGTTTTAAAATATTTATTAATGTCTTAGGAGAAAAAGCTAAAGCATATTTTCTACTTTTCACACTTAGTAAATTTTTTCTTATCCAATGTTCAATATACCCATTTAAATTGATTAAATTTAAATTTGCGTAAAAAAATTTCAATATAACCAAAGCCTAAGCAGAGAAAGAAACAAGAGCATATATTCCAATCTTTCACACCTATCAATTATTTTTCCTATTTGATATGAGATAAAAGCTATTAAATTTGAATTCACGCTAAGAAAAATCTCATAATGGAGATAAACATCAATATTGAGAGATTTCACTTAGATTGGATGGTTGTTACACATTGTTTCATAATGTATCGTCTTATATCAAAAACACACCCAATAAGTGATAGTTTAGATATGAAACTCACACTCTCAGTAGTTTATGTATTAAACTAAAAAAAGAGGAATAATTTTGATGTTGTTTTTGACATTTATCTTTTGTTTTAATGAATACAATATTTGGATAAATTGTATCTTCCTCCGTCGTTACATGATGTCACAAACCATGACTTGAATGATAAACCTAAAAAAAAGTAAGGTACGGAGTACATGAGTACATTTATTATGAAAGGTAGCGTAAAAAATAAAATATAATTATTAAATAATAAATAAGACAAAACGAGAAGAAAATATTAAGGTAACGACACAATCAAACCAAATCGATCGTTACATAAAATAGATCTTTTCATCGTTACCTAAGAATGGATTTAAACATACAATATAATACTATTTAAATAATAATCAAAACAAACATTGTATTTAAACTAATAATACAATACTCCACTAAACAAGGTGTGAGACTCAAACCGAGACCTCAAATTAAATCTTGGGAAGGAAAAATGAAAAAGAATTACAAGTTCAAGAATCGAATCGAATCGAAACTAGAGTCTACAAGATAAATGTTCATCTATCAACTAATCAATCAACTCACCTATTAAGATTTGTCGAATCGAAACTAGAGTCTACAAGATAAATGTTTATCTATCAACTAATCAATCAACTCAGCTATTAAGATTTTACGAACGGGAAAATATTACTCAATAACCTCTTTAATGGCAGGTGTGATTCAAAGCATTATATCTTTTTATCACATTTCCCTTTCAAATTCAAACAATTTTTGTTGCAATGGCTACCAATTCATCAACGAACATTGTTGAGCTCAATGAAGTAATTGTAGCTGTAATTCCATGGCCAGAACATGGTCATCTCAATCAACTTTTCCATATTGCTAACTTCATCTCTTCTCACAATATCCCTCTTCACTTCATCTCTCTCACTGATCGAAATCAAGATCTAAAAAATCGCGTCCAAAATACCTCAAAAATCCATTTTAATGACCTTTTAGCACCCCCTCTGACCCAAATTTCAGAACCCAGAGAGGATTTTGCTGATGAGTTTGCATTTTTGGAGTTTTTGGATATATTGGGGGAACCCATTTATGAAATTTGTGTTGAAATCTCGAAGAAGGCGAAGAAATTGGTGGTTGTTTTTGATTCTTTGATGACGGATGTGATTAAGGGAGTGTATGCGATATCAAATGTTGAATGTTACTCTTTTCATGCGATTTCAGCTTTTTGTATGTATTCTACATTTCAACAGGTTGTTGGTGAAGTTGAAGACGGAGTTGCACGCCAAGTGTTCGATGAAATGCCTGAAGTGGGGGATTGTTTTGGACCCCATATATTTGAGTTTGTGCAAAAGGAAAGGGAATGTAATCTTCATTGTGGAGAGTTTATGAATTCTTGTAGGGAATTAGAAGGGGAGTACTTGGATTTACTTGTCAATGTTAGGAAGAAGCCATTGTTTGCTCTTGGTCCATTTCATATGTTGCAAGAGTTACCCGAGTCATCGGGCAATAGGGATCGCCACGAGTGTCTTGAGTTTCTCGACGAGCAAGATTTTGATTCAGTAATGTTTGTTTCGTTTGGAACGACTACTACATTGTCGCAAGAGCAAGTGAATGAGCTTGCGCTTGGTTTGGAAAGGAGCAACCATAAGTTCATTTGGGTGATAAGAGAAGCGGATAAAAAGATGGAGACGGAGAAATGTGGAGGGAAAGATTCGAACTTTGAATTGCCAGAAGGGTTTGAAGAAAGAGTGGAAGGAAGAGGAATGGTGGTGAGGAATTGGGTGCCTCAATTGGAAATCTTGGGACATAAATCTACGGGAGGGTTCTTGAGTCACTGTGGATGGAATTCTTGTATGGAGAGCGTTAGCATGGGAGTTCCAATAGCAACTTGGCCAATTCAAGTAGACCAACCGTATAACGTTGTTTTTGTAACCAACGTGCTGAAGTTTGGAATCCCGGTTAGGAGTTGGGCTCGTAGGGAAGAATTGGTAACAGCAACAACTATTGAGAAAGCTGTCAGGACTTTGATGGGTACACCGGAAGGAGAAGAGATTCGACAGAGGGCAATCGAGTTGAGCAATAAGATCAAGAACTCTGTTAGTCATGGAGGAATTGCACAGAAGGAAAGGGAATCTTTCATTTCTTGTATTACCAAATAAATTTCACTCAATGAACATCAACATTTTGTATCAAGTATGTCATGAATAACTATTTTTCAAGTGCCATGTTTCCTTTAAATTTCATGCATACCAAATTTCTATCATGTTAGTTGTCGACACGCATAATACATAAATGTGTCCTTTAACTTGGCCTCATTTTAGATTTATGCCCTCCAACTTTGGGTGTGCACAAGTAGGCGTTCAAACCTGTATAAAGTTGAACAAGTAGCACATAAGTCCTACGTGACATAAAACACGTAGGATGCAAATTGTCATGTAGGATGCCACGTAAAATGTGTGTCTATTTGTGCACGTCTAAAGTTGAAGGGCATAAATGTGAAATGATACCAAGTTAAAGGGCATATTTATGTATTATGCCTTGTCAATATGCATTCAA